TGCTGCAGCTTCTCATCAGAGGGAACGGCCATTATGTTTACTGAATTCATCACTAAAATTGGGTTTAGATAGATCCTCTAGCTCCGTCCGCTCACGAAAAGGTGCTTCTGAGAATGGTGCTCTTCCCCCAATTCCTGAAAAAGAAATAAATGCTAGTGTAAAGCTCGGTGGTTACTTAAATCTAATCGCAGACTTTACTCATAACATTACGGACGGGTTAGCCTTGTCCTCTTCATTCTATGCTAGTCCCACTATCGGCGCGACGACCACCGTCGCCGTTTTTTTCCATGAAATTCCTCACGAAGTGGGCGATTTTGCTCTTCTGATTCAATCTGGATTCTCTAAGCGCGCCGCCATGGGTGCTCAATTTATAACAGCTATCGGTGCCCTCCTTGGAACAGTAATCGGTATCACAGTCCAAGAACTTGGAGGATCAAGCAACTCTACCATGACGCATAGTCCTGGACTTTTCGGCACCAGCCTCCAGTGGGGTGATATGCTGCTACCCTTTACAGCAGGAACATTTTTATATGTTGGTACTGTGGCTGTGATGCCGGAACTGCTGGAAACAGGCCCACAGAGAGGGAAGGAGCTGAAGAAAACACTAGCACAGTTTTCGGCAATGTTTGCGGGAGCTGGGATTATGCTGGCGTAAGCGCTACTGTAACTTCGAACACTATAAACAGTGCTAATCAAAGAGTTTAGCATCTCGTGGTCTTAGGATTTTCCGCTTCGGGCATAGAAGGACGCACCTTTGCTCTTTCCATATATAAACGATATCGTACCACATTAAAGCCTAGGTATAGATCTAGAGTTGGAAGGCAGACAAAGCAAACAGCGAATATCCATATCCTCTCAATAGACAGTTCTCAACCACTCTATTCTAGCTTTTTATTAATTCCAATCCCAATTCCTCTACAGAGGAAAGAAACAAACGCCATGCATAATAAGCAGCACAGAAGGCTGCAAGGTTATCGTATGTGTACCTTTTTTTTGCAGCTCATTTCGGAAAATTGGTTGGTATAAGAACAGACCTTGAAGTAGTTTGAGGTGCACAAATCACGATCTGTTAACCAGCCTGATTGGAAATAACAAGCCACCCCCCTAGTTTTCAAATTAGACTCGTACAAGCAAAATTAATACGCTCTTGGTTAGTAGCACAAATACCTAGAGAAGTGTCCTGGCACAACTCATATTGCGGCACAGTCACAATGGCCCCACTTTTATCAAGGGGCTACAAACAGTGACCCAGGGGCTACTACCTATTTATAACCCGTACCACCCGATGATACATGTTACTATACTCAGTATTAACATTGTGCACTCTTTAGGTCATAATATATCTCCCCAATGAGAACAGAAGATTATCGCGCTCTAAAAGAGCTTACAGAAAAATATTATATCTTCTCCAAGAACAAAGAAGAGGCTGCGGACGAAGCAAGTTGGCCAGAAAACTTACTCGACACGTTTGCACAAATAAAGACGATTGCTAACTTTAAGCACATCAATTATATCAGCTCGGGAATCCGTCCAAGACAGGAGCCAGAGCCATGGAGAAATGGAACTCGACAGAACGCGACAAAAAGAGCTGCGAGAGCAAAATTGTGTCTGCAACAAAACTCGAATGAGGCTGAGTGGCGAGCAAATTCAGAACATTTGATTTTCGCCCGCTTCGAAGTTGAGATAGCTTGGTATGGTTTCCCTTACCCATAATTAGGCGTAGGAAGCTCCTGACTTCTTCAAGCCCCCGATGTCGCGCAAGACTATAGCGATCAGAAATCGAACCAACTATTCGCCAATCATTACCTGAAAAATATGCCGAGGACTTGGAAAAGCGACGGCAGAGCCGAGTACCTTGCAAATGCCCTCCTGAAAGTCGTAACGACGATCGGTAATCTACTTCGGTTTCATATCCACATCTTGCTAGACTAGCTTCTATTGATATAACCCTCTATCCCTAAGCAACTTAACGTCCTTAAGAAAAGTACAGATGCACTAACAGGGATATCTGCTTTCAGTTTCGGTTAGTGGTACCTCTATCATTTTCTTTAACCGAAAAAGCAACAGTTTTATTCACAAGCATGACCTGCCCAAAGGGTTACCAGGAAAGCAACCAGATCTCGTTTACGGTTTTGTACAGACAAATAGCTTCGCTAAAGCTCTCAATGCCAACTACGTCGATAACGAACAGCTACAGGGATCCGTAAGGTCGGTTGCCCAAGTTCTGAAATACACTCCTCTTAAGGAGACTAGAGAACCGCTCATTTTTCCCTTTTTAATTTTAGAGGCCAAGTCGCACAAGTCGCAATGCCGCTCCATGCACATTGAAATGCAAACAGCATTTCCAATTCGCACTCTCATAGAAATGCAGCATGACCTTTATCTGGCAGCTGGGAGACCAGAAATACCATGGACTCCACTTGTGTGGTTCTTGTCGTGGCATGGCGAAGACTAGATTCTCTATGCAGGATTCTTACAGGACAGAGGGAAGACGCAGGAGCCCAGATATGTAAGAACCACATCATTCTCTTCTTGATATTTCCTATCTAATCATCAAGGGATGTGATTCCACTCTGGTCTGGCAACACTACCAGCGAAGACCATGCCCTTCAGCTACTCCTGGTTGTTGACTTTATTCTTGACTGGGCTCGAGCCATTTTCCGGCCAAAGGCTCTTCAGCGAATCAAAGCGCTCTCTGTCTCAGATTCAACCTTCCATATGACACAATCCACGGATAGCAATATGTTTTCATATCGGCCTAGTGAATCAGTGGATTCTCGTTTAAAATCCGAAGATATATTCAAACCTACCGAATCTAGGAACCCAAAAGCTAAGAAAAGCATTTCGTCAAAACTCCGCGAATTTGAATCGAAGCATGGGTGCTTTCGTCATGCACCCAGGTTGAGTCACGCCTTCGCGGTCTTTATATCACTGGAGACAATGCACAGACCATGCTGCGTTCTTTCGACAACGAGAGAGCGGCCCGTAAATTCGCGGCAAGAATCACAAATACCTTGGCTATCGGTTCCCTAGTATTCGAAAGCGATGATATTCTGAAAATCTAGAAGGTAAATGGGCTGGTCCGAATGAGGGATTTCGCTCCAATAGCAGAATCACTGGGCCAGCCAACCGAATTTATATGACTATAGGAATATCGTACTTTATCAACCTCTAGTGGAACCTGGTCCGCGAATTGTCATACATTGCAGTATCCAAGGAAGGAGTGGATGTGCTCTCAAAATTCTTTAGCGGTCCGGAATAATCTATCATAAAAGGCCGTATCTCTGCTCGAGGAATTACTATGTCTCCACAACGCTTGGTAGATCTCTGTGACTTTCAATTGCAAAAGTGCGTTCAAGATACTTTGCGAGCAGCTATCAGTTGTGAAGTTCTAAGTCTTGAAATCATCCGGGGATCGTCAGTACCGAAAGAACGTTTAACGCCGGAGAATGCAGACAAGTTCGCCTATCAACCGCATAGTGAAAAGCTCTACCCTATCTCGTTCCATCGGGTGGATGGGAATTGCCGCAACCTCGTACTTCAAATATATGAGAAATATCGCATTAGCCAGCGAGAAATTCCGGAGACTTTCTTGCGAAGCCTTAGTCGGTACGACCCTGACGATGGTTTTGCAATAGACATGCAATGGATTTCTACCGACCAGCCATTACATTGCCACAACGGTATGGTCATAGTCATACGTAGGTCTAGTGGAGAAGATACTGGGGTTATGGAGAAAAGCCCGCAATTTTGCATATACATCGTGGAAGATCCCGATGACGGTGTGAGTCCAGATTTTCTCCCTTGCTCATTCCAACAATTCACCGATTGTGGCCACCTCTATTTCACTTCTCAAGAAGATAGACCCGACCAGACATATCCGCCTCATCCAAAAAATGATACACCAATCTATCTATCAAAAGCCGAGATTGAGAACAAATTAGGGTGGCCTAACGGCAAACTTGATGACGATTTAACGGCATGGACAAGCGATTTCGTTCAATTAATGGACTCGTCTAACACACCAAATGCACTTAGTCAGAGTCTATCCCTCCCCTCCCGACCAACACCGTCGTCCGATATTTCTTCGTTAAGTGCAGAAGAGATGGCTACGAGGATTTCGAGGGTTTGGGACACACTAGGAGATACCAGAGCAACCACTAGTGGCGCACCGCGGCGAAACATGTAGGCACCCTGATAACTTAGTACTAAAGTCTTTCGGTGGTTTTCCTTGAAGTACCGGTTTTTGACTTACAAGTTTTGAAAATTCCGTACCTATAAACATCTATATTACCAAGTTTTGTTTATTCGTCGCTTGCTTCCTGACTTTCCAAATAATCATTCGATAAATTGTTTATTTGTTTGGCTAGTCTAATTTACAAAAATCACACTAATCGTGAAGGAGGTGCCCACCCCTATCAAAGGGAGAGTTGAACCTACTGCCTGCTCCTCCGCTCTTCTGAAAAGTAGTATTATCGGGACGCTAGTAACCCAGCCTTAGTAGGGAGGCTGTCTCCGGAGGCCTATTCACTTCTAGACTCTGTAACTACTAACCCCATCACTTCTTTAGGTATCTTTTAGAATCTTCGATCCGCTCCGCTAGAGACTTCTGTACTCCCCTTCTTCCCCTACCTCCTCTACCTCCTTTACCTCCACTACTTCCTCCACTTCATCCTCCGCTTCTACCTCCATGTGAGTCTCTGACGGGGCTCCTACCTCCTTCGGTAGAATGAGGCATATGGGGCCTTGTCGTATTTTGACGCGCTGTGGCGGTTCGCCCCATATTTTTTTTCGAAGATAGCAACCGCGTATGCCTTATTCCGGTACCTTTCGTGAATGCATACTGTTCGGTCTATTAGTATTCTTTTTCTTACCATTTCCCTATATAGGCCGCGCTCTGTCGGAGGGCTCCAGTACTAATAGAGTCCAGCGAAGGAGTGTGAAGGATAGGCTTTCCACAGGCACCAGACAGCTGTCTGGCAAAAAAAATAATACTGTAATGCTCCCAGCCAGGTTCGAACTGGCGACCTTGGGATCACCAATCTCTGAGAGACGGTCATAGCAGAAACTATGAGACCCACGTGATAACCAGCTACACCATGGAAGCAAGCTGAATTCCAATTGAATTTTCCAACTAATCATTATGCGAGCTGCCGCGTAATGGTTAGTAGGAAACCCTTATGGTGCTCCGCTTCAACCGCTGCTAGCATTCTCCTCAGATAATGTCTACGAAGACCAGGGCGATCAAAGAGCATTGGTTTAAGTGTGCTTGAAAATTTCAAACTAAGTGCGGCAACGCAAATTAGAACGCAGAGCTAGTAAAAGAGTGGAAATCCGCGCGACGAACCCTGCTGATGATCGAAATTCAACTTGAATGGACAGCGAACGAGCTCGAATAAGCTGCACAGGAGAAACAGTCTAAATTATTGGAAAAGTATATACCAGATGGGTGAGTTCTCAATTTCTGGCTTTCCGGGGAAAGCTAGACTCATTGTGCTATTTATAGTAATTTTTCCATGAGGCCCTAAATCATCCGTTCCATGGCAACGATCGTACTTCTTCGGCTCGGGGGTTTTATCTGGCCTCTGGTTGGAGTTTATGCCAATTTGCTACCCATTATTGATTTAGGATATGTGCGCGCTTGGCAATGTATACCGCTCTGTGCTCCTTGCTGATCTTCCTGACAGGAACAACACCAAGCAATTAGTTTCGACGTTAGTTCATCAACTCTAAGAATATATGCATAACTGATAGATTTCTCTAAAATCAGGTATGCTCAGGCACCTCTTGGGAACCTCCGATTTGGACCCCCGCTGCCGCTAACGAGTCGTTCATCTACCATCAATAATGGATCAGTCGGCAGAGTCTGTCCGCAAGCCGTCGCGCCATGGCATGCTATCACTAACGCCTTTGTGCCGGCATACATACTGGGGATTCCGTTTAATTACACTACATCGCCCACCGCTCTTCCGAAGGCGCCGGGCAACTCTAATTATGATCCGAGGGCAACAGAAGATTGCCTGTTCCTAGACGTATATATTCCGCAAAGGGTGTTCACGGAGAGAAAGCAAGCACCGGTGTTGGTCTACGTGAGCTATATCTCAGCACTCAGTCCGTCTTGTTGAACATCTGCCAAGATCTAGTTTACTGTCGATCAAGAGTGACACTTCAGCTGTTACGTAACGTGGAGGTAAAGATCGTCCTCCACCTCGTGTATATATAGAGGCTGTAGAGCCTGCCTTTTGAATCAGAGTTCTCATCATCATCTGCTGCCTCCTCACAGTTCAACACGTCCACTAAAGCGATACTAAATTAGGTTCAGCTCCTTCGGGGCGGATATGTTGCTGGAGAGAAAACGAGGGCGGAAAATTTAACCCAACTGGTATCATCCATGTCAGCAACAACAGCCTCATTTTTGACCCCATCAGCTATCGCCTCGATGCCTTCGGCTAGAATGCTGGTCCAGCTTTGCAAGCCGGTAGCACTGCCAATGCTGCGCTGTTGGATCGGAGGATGGCTCTCCAGTGGTTCAAGATCATATACATATGTTTGGAGGGGCAAGGCTAAAGTAACCATTCTCGGGAAGTCAGCAGGAGCTGGCTCAATCCTACACTAGATCACAGCGTTTGGAGGAGCTCATGGGCCCACACTTTTCCAACGAGCTATCCTTTCTTCCCCGGCTTTTCTAACACAGCCTATACAAGACATTCCGAAGCGTAGCTTCAAAGATTTCTTATTCTTACTCAATGTTAGCACAAATTGAGGAGGCCAGAAAGCTTCTATCGAAAGCGTTGATCACTGCGAATGCGCTGCGAATCTATAACGCTCCTTACGGGTCGAGCATTTACTGTCCTGTTGTCGACGATACGCTTTCGTCGGAGCTCCCTAGCATACTACTGTTAGAGGGACGTTTTGACTAGGATGTCGACGTGTTGGTAGGTCATAACTCTAACGAAGGCCTGATATTTACTACAGAGTTTCAATGGGCTGTACAGCTTGCAGCTGATTCTCAACTCGTCTGCAACACGCAATGTGTAGATCGGGTTTTAAAAACAAAACATTTGCATGCATGGAGCACAAGTTCAACCGATCTTATCCTGGCTAATATGAACGAGCGGACGAGTTCTCGGTCTTCCTGAGCATTCACGGCCAAAACACTAATTATGTATTCTTAAATGGGGTTAGTCTGTCGATTAACACTACCATCGCGCGTGCGATACAAGACTATATCGCCAATTTTGTGCTCTTTAGTGTTCCGTCGGGATATCGAGTCCCCCTGTGTCCAAAATACGGATCAGAGAACCGGCTCACGAATCTGACGACGATAGGGCTCGGGCTGACAAGAGATGACACTGCAAACGAAAGATGTAGGTGGTGGCAGCCAGCGCTCTATTACTAACTTCCATTTCTTGGCCTCCTATTTTACAATAACATAATCCCTATTCCTAACGCTTTGGTACTCATAGTAAATCAACCTGATATTGTCAGGGGAAACCTTACATGTGATAGCGTCCTAGTCGGATCAAGCTGTGCATATATCACGCTTTTGGCTATCGGCCCCCGACTAACCATGACAGACTGACCTTAACTGCTCGCGTCAGCTTACAAGCTGTCCGATTATCAAGGAGCCATGCCTCTTCATGTCCTTATATTCTTAAGTCTTAAAAGCGTTCTTTGTAAAAGGGGACACCCGGTGGTATAATCAGGCTCCCAGCAGCCTCTAACTGATTATATATAGTCATGACGTTTCTAGTGAGAATCATTCCGGTGCCTTCCTTACCCGTCGCTGTTAAGCTGTGCTTAGATTCTCTAGTGGGACACCATAAGCTTCAAACCCTTTTAGGGATCCATGAAGACAGTCTTTCGGACATGGCAGCTTTGAGGAACGGATTGGGTGCTCCGTCCGAGTGTAACCGAATGATACTTTGGTGGTTTGAGATGGAACTTACGTTTTTCCAGAGAAATCGGACACCAGCGGCTGTTTGGGGGGTTACCACACCAACGTCCTCAGATTCGCAATGAGTTCAGCGCTATATTTTGAAGGTTGGTACTCTACCCTACGCGTTGCAGCCGTATAATTCCATGGCCTTGAAGGTTGGAAGAGCCCTTTATTCCTACAGAAAAGAGTGGCATAGACGATATATGTACATAACCTATAAACATACTCTAAAATTTCTTCGAAATCTTGGAAGGTGCGGATGCCGATCTTTTCACCCGGCTTAGCACTATTGCATGGGCTGAGGCACAGTCTGTCTCTCTCGGAACGACGAAATATCCGGCTAGCTGGAACTTTCGATCATAAGGGGGCAATATGGGAAGGGCTAAATGATTTTATAGATTCATAACTAAATTTAGTGCGTTTAAAATGAATTTAAGCATGCGATTTAGTTTGGGGCTAGGGAAGTGTTTGAGCCATACGCTAATTGGGTGCACGAGAGGTGAAGAGAAATAGCGGCGTCCGCATGCACAGGAAGACTAGAAAAACTCCATATATCTCTTCAAGATGTCTTGCCATTATCGTGGCTAGTACTCTTGAAATTCCCAGCGTCAAAGCTGTACGAGGATGCTAAAGGCACTGTACGCTCCAATTAGCGAGCTAGTGTATGCAGGGAGGCCTACAAGAACATCAATACACCCGGATCAACCCCGGATCTCCGGTGCTTGAGCTGAAACCCACGTCTGACACCAAACACCATCAGAAAGGCCTCGAAACCGACCACGATGGTTTCGTTAATCATATCGCTTGCCGGTGTTGAGACCATCAACGAAACAGTATGCCATCAAACAGCTATGCAATCTGTTTCTTTCAAGGCTGTCGCGCAAAGCTGCATGCGAGGCCTAGTGGGCCTATCGAGGTATCGTCAACCTCGAAAGCCTAACATCTAGGCACACTACGCCATCGGGACTATTTCCAATACTTCTAAACGGATCTAAAAGATCTGTTTCATGTGCCTTAAATATTGTCAAAATCATTAATTTCGAGGTCAGCTTTTTCGGACTTGGCAGCCCTCAGTTTCAGATTCAGACTTTCGGCATTTTCACCAGTTACCAAGCCTCGTGAACTGCAGGCTTGCAGGGCTTAGCATTCTTGGTACTGCACTGCTGCAACCTGAGTACATGTTTCCGCTCTCCTACGATGGATCATACTCCGTGCTGCTTAAAAACATACAATACAAACTTATTTTACGCCTTCGGTTTCAAGCCTTGCCGCTCTATTCCCTAATTGTTAACCCGTGGTTTCAACGCCATATTTCTCCGTTATCTATTCGTTAGTCCGCTGCACGGAACACTTTACATAGCTCTGAGAACTTGCTCGCCGTTAGAGAAATACTCTTGGCCTCTTGGAATGCTTTCTTGTAGGGGAATGCTATATGTCTGGGAGCTCTGGTGCATAGATTTGTGCTAGAAGTTAATATCACATCTAAGTTTGCCTAACTATGGGGCATGATGAAGAAACATGGTATTTCTTGGCCAAAACCGTTTGGCCTCAAGCTGCCCTCTCTAGGGTAACCTGAGGCTTGTGGTTTTTCTTGAGTATTGCTTCGATTTTTCCATAAATTCACGTACTGCCTGCAGTAATTATATATCATCACTCGACAGGTCTCACAAAGATACAAAGAACGCGGCATCATTACCACTTCTTCATTTCTAATTCTTTAAAATCCCACTGGCTCAGTATGTTTTTTTATTCTTCTCTTTTTACCTTCAGTCTTCTGGCTACAAGCCAGCTCGTGGCTGGCCACGGTGCCATAATTGCAGCCACCGGTGACGCCGGTGGTAATGGTACAGCACTGGGAAGTGAGTGGCACTTTTCTAATTCAAACATTTACAGTAACTGATCATGTCTAGTTGATGCCTCTACACCAAGGACCGGTACAACACGTCAGCCTTTCCAGCAAGACACAACTCGCTTCAAAGGCGATGCCGCAGCTACCTGTGGAGAAACTCTCCTCGTGCGTCCCCGTCCCCCTTTCACGGAGTGTTAGCTCCTCTGTATTCGGCTGACACAGCTGCATAGGGAGGAGATAACGATGCTGAAGCTGGAACGGCTAAAGTCCTCGCAACATCTGGAGGCATCCTACCTCAAATCAATCAAGGAGGAAAGGT